TCCATGCTCAACTAATTTTTTGCTAGTAATAGTGACAAGGTTGCACTCTTTTGCCCAGGGTGGTCTCTAATTCCTGGGATCAAGTGATCCTTCTGCCTTGGCCTATCAAAGAGCTAGGATTACAGGCATGAACCACTGGGCCTGGCCAAGGTGGTTTTTTTTTTTTTTTCATCTGGAAAAAAAAAAAAAAAAAAAAAACAGCAGCTATGAAAAAATCATTTAGGGCCAGAGGTACTTCTGGCACCTACAACTTTCACTGGGGATTAGAGATATAGGGGCCAGGGATTTTCAGGGCTCTGAGAGTTACTAGGGTAGCCCAGGAGGTGGGGAATGCCCCTGCCCTCACCAAGTGTGAACCTCAGTTTGGAGCGAGGAGCCTGCTGTTGCTGGTGTCAGATCAATAAATCTGTACCCACACCACCCCACTCTCCCCCAAACCCTCTCCACACTGGGGTTCTGCTTTGAAGGCTTCTGATAGGGCAGCTGGGGAGCTTGGGGTATTGTTGCTGTGTAGTCTTGAAGGACCATCACTTGGAAACCTGCTAAAGTTTTTCTAAGTATTCAGAGAGATCCGAACATCTACCACACCAGATGCCCATGTGGTTATTCCCTTTCTTCCAGCTCCTCACTTCCTAAAGGATCTAGCCCAGAACAACACACCACCAAAAGCACTGTTCCCTCCCTTTGCTTTTCATCTCTCCATACAGTCCCTACATACAAGTAGGGCATCGAAAGGGCAGGGCTCATGGCAGAAGAATGGGGCGCTTTTGAAGAGGTAATATCTGGAAGTGGGTAGACTGAAAACAGAAAGGGTGTATTGGCCTCTAAGGGGAAGTGTTGTAGGCTTTCTTCTCCATTTCCATCCTTCTTCCTTGCCCACAAGAATTTGTCCTTATATTGGGTAAAAACTGCTTAAGAGTAAGGCTCTTAATTGGTCCAGATGCTAAAGGCATTGTCCATCTCTCTGTAAGGATTTAGCACAAGGGCTATGGGTTTTGTTTGTTTGTTCATTTGTTTACTTTACTATTAAAAAGTCATTATCATTCTCTTTCTCTTCCTCTACCTCAATCTTATCTTCCAGTTACTTTGTTAAGTTTCCCTATGACAACAGTGCCTCAAATTTTATCTTGTAGGTTATTATACTTTATTCCTCCTTAGCAAAAAAATTACCAAAAATATGTGTAAGAAATAATTTGTTTTGGAATTCCTTTAAGAAAAACATAAAAAGTCTCCTGAGATAATTGAAAATATAATCTAGCATTAACTGATCAACTGTCAGTGAACTTTTTTTTCCAAGCACTGCTAAATATATATTACATATATATATATATTTTACATTCTTATAAAATGTATATATAATATATTAATATATATATTACATTCTTATAAAATGTAAAACGGTCATGTGTCAAAGGTTTTATTTAATTCATTAATTAATGAGAGAATATGTAAAAGATATAACTAGTTCAAAGGCGAATTCAAAGAGAGAGAGAAAGACAGATAAGGAATGCTGAAATGAATTTACAAATAGATGCAAAACTGGCTTTTTCCACAAGGATATGGAAGGAAATCAGTTGTCCCTTCACTTAGACACAATTCATTTGCACATTATGGACAAGAGTCATCTGCAGACTCTATTATCTACAAAGTTGTACGTAGCTCAAATAAAATCAAAGGAGGAGATACCCCACAAGGATGCACAAGACAGAAGACTCAGTAATCTTTTTTTGCCATGTCAAAGTCTTCCATCAATTTTTCTGACTGTTAAGTCAGGATATTTAATTCTTTGTTCACGGTATGTCATTTATATTTGTTTTTAAAAATTTGATACTGCTGGTATGGCTTTTAATTACTCATTTGAAGCTATGAGAAGAGGAACCCTAGACAGAGGAAAAATTATCATAGTAAAAATTATTTTTTTTGGCCAATCTGGACATATTCATATAAGTATATACTACCAAGGAATATGACTTCTGAGTTCATAAATATTAGGTTGCCGAAACATACAGGATTGCCAGTTGAATTTAAAATAAATGACAAATTTTTTAAAGTATATGTATGTGTCAAATATGATAAGAAAAAGAGGGAAAATGGCTGCTGGACAAGTGATTATAATTTGTACCTCACTAGGCTGGGTCTTACTTTGTTTTTCTTAGGTGCAAAGAGATAATAGTTTCAGAACATGGAATACACTGAAAGCTGTTTGTTAAATTTCTTTTAACTTTACTTTTATTATTTATTCAAGACAATGCTAAGCAATAGTTATCACCTTCATTTCTGCATGCAGACACCAGGCCCAGCTGCCCAAGAGGAGAGGGGCTCATAGTTACAACTTTTTCCTGGAGCAGGAATGGTGAGCCTGCAGTGACAACTCATCATTCCTTGCTTATCTCAGTTAAGGCAGATTAGATTATGATACCCAATCACAACTTTCTAGCTCATTCAGGACACTGAAGGAAACACTCCTCCTTCTTTTCTAATAAAAACCCAATAACTAGCAAGCACAGCTTCTGGAAATAGGATATCTCATGAATTTGACAACTGTGACATATTTTATTCCCTGTTGCATTACGCATAATTAGTCTTTCTGGGCAAGGTCACACAGACCTTGGTTTGCTCAGCAGTTTGTGAATTCCACCTAATCTGCAAAACAAAGGAAAAAGCCATAGTATGGTGGAAGAAGAGTGTCTCTTGTAACACCAACGAAGGCCAGAATAGTGTGAATAAAGAAGGTAAGATTCTAGAAAAGTTTCCGAGATAGAGTCAATAGTTTGGTTTGTGATCTGATGGAAGAAATAAATGGAAGTACGAGTTGAGAAGAATGGCCAGGCCTCTGGGTTTTGTAGCTGGAAAAACTGTGGGGCCTTTACTGAGGTGGAAATTAGGGAAGGAGAAGTAGGTTGGCGTTTATATAAAAGAGACTGTGTAAAGGTGGGAATCTGAATTTCATTACTTTTGTCTCCTGAATATTCTCCTTTCCTGCATCAGCTTTTCCACATTCTGAATAATTTTACCTAGCAAACTACATTAAATTTCAGTTCAGGGCTGGGCGTGGTGTCTCATGCCTGTAATCCCAGTACTTTGGGAGGCCCAGGCTGGGGGGATCACCTGAGGTCAGGAGTTCCAGACCAACCTAGCCAACATAGTGGAACCCCATCTCTACTAAAAATACAAAAATTAGCCAGGCATGGTGGCAGGAGCCTGTAATCCTAGCTACTAAGGAGTCTGAGGCAGGAGAATCGCTTGAACCCAGGAAGCAGAGGTTGCAATGAGCCAAGATTGCACCACTGCACTCCAGCCTGGGCGACAGAGACTCAGTCTTAAAAAAAAATAAAAATAAAAAGACAATCTGAAAGAATGGTGATATTTTAGGCCAGGTGTGGTGGTTCACACCTGTAATCCCAGCACTTAGGAGGCCGAGGCGGGTGGATCACCTGAGGTTGGAGTTCGAGACCAGCCTGGCAACATGGAAAAACCCTGTCTCTATTAAACACACAAAAAATTAGCTGGGCGTGGTGGCACATGCCTGTAATCCCAGCTACTCAGGAAGCTGAGGCAGGAGAATTACTTGAACCCAGGAGGCAGAGGTTGCGGTGAGCCAAGATTGTGCCATTGCACTCCAACCTGGGCACAAGAGCGAAACGCCAGCTCTAAATAAATAAATAAATAAATAAATAAATAAATAAATAAATTTCAGTTCATTCTCTCTTTAAAAAAAACAAATACCAATTATCGCACCAGAGCTTCTGGTCAGCCTGAGATTATCAGTGTTCCCATAGTGAATTCCCATAAATTCCAACCCAAAGCAAACAAACAAGAAATTTGAATCACTCTACTCAGCCTGTTGAGGGGAAATAGACAATTTTCTTTTAGGTCTTTTGACATACTGAAAAATAGCCTGGAGGTCTCCCCATGTGCCTGACTCATGGTTAGTGCCCTGTAAATAACTACTGAAAGATAAATGAATAAATCTTTTTTATGTGTCCTTTAGCTCTAGTGTGTAATTCCAAGATCTACTGGAAACTCCTTTTGTTCATAATCACCACTAGTACATTACACCCATTGATTTTGATTAAGTATGTGAGGTCTATTTTTGTCCATTACTTAGCTAATGTTGCATAATTAGTCACAATCTTATCAATTACAACAACAAGAACAGCAGAGGACCATGGTACTCAGTCTAAAATCTGTTGGCTTCCCACACAGAGTAAGATCCAAACTCCTCAGCTTTATAGCCTTTAATGATTTGGCTCCCACCAACCCTTCCAGCTAATCTCATTTATATTCTGTCTCCAGAACAAGATCTGAATTCACATCTTTGGCTAAAGTACCAGTTTCTCTGCTTTTCACCTACTTCCATTTTCACTCTGAAATGTCACTTTCACCAGGTCTTATTTGGAATCCTCTCTAATTCATCATGGAGATTGGCCAGGGATGGAGCAAAAAAGGTCTGCTAAATAGTGAGTTTTTAAGTTCCATTCTAAGAAATTTAGATTGAATTATTAATCTAAAATTCTTTTTCTAGATTATGATCTAAGCAATTAAAAGAGAAAAAGAACTATTAGCATCATTGAAAAGATCATCTTCGATAATATCCTTCAAAAATCAAGCACAGAAAATATTTTTAACACTGTTTTTCTTTAATCCAAAGTATTTTTCACATAAAATAATCAAATATAGTTTGTAAATGTGTCTCAGGTAGTACTTTCTTTAAATAATTAAACCTTTTGTTATGACAATTAACTGCTTATTTTTTATTTTTAAATTTTTATAAACAGTAATTTTTACAATTCACAATTCATGTAATAGCAACTGCTGCCATCAAATTTCTTTCCTTTGGTTATCCCTTCTTTAGACAACAGTCTGCAAATTACCACTGATTTTTTGCAAAAATTATTATGTTAGCTGTGCTGTCATTTTTTTTAACGTTGACCAAAGATAACCTAGAATCACAGCCATTATGTGATCACACAAAATGATCATATAACAAATCAGACCTGGTTTATCACCAGCATTTATAAAACCAGACCTGGGGAAATAACTAGGTCTGGAATACATGTGTAGTCTTAATATTGGAAATGTTTTACCTGTCCTGACTATTACAAAATCAGAACAGCAAGAATATTCACAGTAATTGCTTCACTTAAGTGATAAAACCCCAACTCATGAATAGATAACATGCTGAACTCAATTAAGTGTCCTATGAGCTGAGAAGACATTGGTGAGCAGCACAAGTCAGAGCTTTTCTTGCTGAATTTATGCACTTTCGTTTTATTTGGGGTTGGAGAGATGGACAGTACACAAATCTTGTATCAAAGTGATCAGATATTTAGAGTTTTAAGAATGACTGAGTGGCCACTTTAGAATGGAGGGTCTGAAAAGGCCTGAGAAGGCAATATTCAAGCTGAAATCTGAAAATGAAAAGGAGATGACAGTGGAAAATTCGGGAGGAAGAGCATTCTAAGCAGAAGGCCCTAGAGCACTGTGGGGAGACAGAGTAGTACACGTTGTTGGAGAAGAGGCACAGATAGATCATGTATTTCCTGGTAAGCAAGCACAAAGTGGATTTTCATCTCCAAGCAGAGAAGTCCTTGGAAGATTTTTCAAAGGGAAGCAACATGATCTAATTTAGTGTTGTTCTTTTTCTTCTTTTTTAAAAAAATATTACTTTGGAAACTCTAATAAACAGATTTGGGGGGCAGAAGGTGAGGCCAGTTGGAAGGCAATAGTCGGGCCCACAGATGATTTTTCTTAGACTAAGATGGTGTTTGTGAAGCCGGAGAAAATATTAATCCAATTTGGAAACTGAGTCAAAAGATCTTGTTCATTCATTGGATGAGAGAGAGGATGGGGAAGGAAATTCATTCTAGAATATTACTCCCTATTTATGCGCTTCTTAAGATTCTTTGAGACAGTCATAATGTCTTACTGTGTGAAGTTATCAGTGTCAAAACAGAGTCACTTATGTCAAACTCTAATAAGATGGAGCCAGGAGGCCATGGAGAAGAAACCCTCAGGCACCTATGTTTGGAACAGAAGTTATTGCAAGAAATTCCTTAAAATGACAGTATACCAGATAAACCACTTGCACAAGGACACTTGCCTAACAATGGTGGTCTCCACTAGTAAGCTAATGCCAACTCCTGCAACAAGCCCCTGTAACCAATGGCTTTGTTTCAAAGCAGGTTACCTGTAATTCTTTCTTCTTTTAAAAGCCTGCTCTTACCCAGACCCCTTTGGATGCATCTGTGGTCTGACATAGAACCCACATCCTAAATTATAATTGCTTGCTATTCTCGAGTTAACTCTGTTTTGGAGAGGCAGTTTCTCTACTGTTTATTTTAGATTCACAACTGGTTCCTTTATTGATTAACTCATTAATTCACGCATGTTTATTTTGTTTGTATATTTGCATAGATTTCAGATTTTATCTTTTAGAAATAATCTTTAACAGTTGGAATAGGTTAGGGAGTGAGTAGGAAATGAGTAGAGGCAACACATGTATACAGCTTTTCTTAAAACTTTAGATTAGAGATCAAGTTGTTCTTCCATTACCCCTCTAGAGAGTTAGCCTGTACATTGTTCTGTGGAAATAACCAATCCCTATTGCTTGCAATCTCAGTGCAACCATCAGACAAGGAGTCCCCAAGGTTTAGATATGGCCCTATAAGTTGGCCAGAGCTATTGGTCACTAGGCTGATGTCACATCGACTTCACACAGGCCCCACTGCTCTTGGAGCCTGCCTCTCCTTCTAGAAAACTGGTTTCTGGGTCCTCAAGGGTAAGAACACCCACAGGGTGATAGCATCAGTGTGCAGCAGCAGCTGGTGGAGCATGACATCAGTGCACTGTGTGGGCCAGGAGTCTAATCATTGCTCTGTAGGCCGAGGCTCAAGGGCAGCCCCAAGTGTGTGGAGGGTGAGGGACGTGACATCACCTGGCTACAAGGGCCGGGGGGGGGCTAGGTGCCCCTCTCCCCTTTCTCTGGATCATAGGCCCTGGGAGGGTGAGAGGACGTCAGGGCAGTGTGCTGGTGGACTCTCCGGCCCTTTTACAACACCATAGTCCTCATGACCATCAGGGTAGGGAGTATTCAACTTTTAAAATTGAGAGAGCAAAGGCTCAGAGGGGTGGACTAACTTGCACAAGATTATACAGCAGAGCTGAATTCTAGATGGTCTAATAATTCTTTTTCTTTAAGAGAAACATAATCATATTTTACTCATGAGATATTTTGAAGATTAAATTAAGTAATGTACATAAAACACCTTACAAATCCTTAAAATTCCTGAATATGCTTTTTGTCTATGGAGTCTGTCCATCCACCCCAGAGCAGGGACCTATTCTGATTTCTCGCTGGGTCTCTAGTAACTCAACACAAAGGAGAAGCAGAGTATACTGAGCAAAAGGCCTGAAGCTAAGATAATAGACCTTATCAAGCAAAAGGTAAGGCCAATTATAGCTGTCTCACCTGCATCCTGACAAGCACACACATAGGCACACACCCAAGCTTGCACCTCTCACCTTGTCTTTTTCTTGGCATCACCCTTCCTATAATCATCCAGGCTGAAAATCTGCTGTCATTCTGCTCCTTCATGCCTGCCACGCCCAATTAGTCACTGACTCCACCTCCTATTCCTTCCTTATTCTCTGTTTTTCTTAGGTAAGTCCTCCTTAAATGACCTCTAACTTACTCAAATTGTTTCCTTAGTTCAATTAATAAATATTATCTATGCTTAATGATCATTTTACCAAATATTTCCAATTTTCCAATATTTTCCAAATATTTCCGATTTTCCAGTTCACCAAATATTTCCAATTTTACCTTTACCCAGCACATAATGGGATAATGCTTCCTGGCCTCAGAGCAGTGAGGTGTTTGAATAGATGTGACCCACCCCACTCTTTTGCTTTCTGATACAGCATTTAGTTGCCACTCTGAGGAGCTCTAGAGTTCTCTTTTCCTCTTCTCCCAAGAAGGAAATTTCAATAGATTCTGTCTCAAGAAACCGCTTTCTTTGCTCATGTATAAGAAGCAACCCCACATCCATTCAAATTTGATCATGAGATTGCAGAAATTCAGTCACAACTTCAGGCTCCACTTCTAATTCTGGTTCTCTTGGCTATTTCTCCCACATCTGCAGTGATCCCCTCCACTGAAGTCTTTAACTCCCTCAAAGTCATTCATGAGGGTTGGAATTAACGTATTCCAAACTCCTGTTAATGTTGACATTTTAATCTCCGCTAATCACAAATGTTCTTAATGGCACCTAGAGCGTTGAACCCTTTCCAGAAGCCTTTCAATGTACTTTGCCCAGATTCATCAGAGAAATTAGTATCTATGGCAGCTATAGTTTTACAAAATGTATTTCTTAAATAACAAGACCTAAAAGTAAAATGTCAACATTAACGGAAGTTTGGAAGAAGTTGATTCCAACCCTCATGAAACTCCATCTCAAAAAAACAAAAACAAAAAAACCAATAAAACACGGAAATTGATGGTTCTAAAAGATATGTAACACAGTAAAGGTACATAATATGTGAATGTGATGATAGAAGAAAAAAATAGAATTACCAAATTATCAAAAATGATATATTGAGACAAATACTACATGCTCTCACATAAATGTGGAATCTTAAAAAGTTGAACTCATAGAAGCAGCGAGTAGAATGGTGATTACCAGGCCTGATGCAGGTAGGTATCAGTCAAAGAATACAAAATTTTACTCAGGAGGAATGAGTTCAAGAGCTCATGGTGATTATAGTTTATAACAATGTATTGTATAACTGAACATCACTAACAGAGTAGATTTTGTGTTCTCACCACAAAAAAACGTTTATAAGGTAACATATATATTAATTTAGCCATTCCAAACTGTATATATATTTCAAAACATCACATTGACATCATAAATATATGCAATTTTTATTTACCTCTTAAGAAATAAATACAATTTTAAATGATACATTGAATATATACACACTGAAGAAAAATAAAGACTGCAAGAAAATGCAGCAAAATGCTAATAGTTATATTTAACCATTTTTCTAACTTTCTGTAATTTTATGATATAGTTTGATAAAAAACAAATTTTATTAAATATCCATTCTCTGCTTTGTAGCTGTTCTTAGACTTTGAATAGAGCAATAGAGAAAGTATTTGGTTTTATTGGTTGTTTTTGTTTTTGTTTTTTTGAGATGGAGTTTCACTCTTTTCACCCAGGTGGGAATGCAGTGTTGTGATCTCAGCTTACCACAACCTTTGCCTCCTGGGTTCAAGTGATTCTCCTGCCTAAGCCTCCTGAGTAGCTGGACTATAGGTGTACACCACAGTGTCCAGCTAATTTTTGTACTTTTGGTAGAGATGGGATTTCACTATATTGGCCAGGCTGGTCTCAAACTCCTGACCTCAAGTAATCCATCTGCCTTGGGCTCCTAAAGTGCTGGGATTACAGATGTGTGCCACTGCGTCTGCTGAGAAAGAATTTGATAATATGAAGCAGGTCATAGCTTAAGAGAGAACTAAACCTTTGCACAGAAGTACAGTATAGAATTCTTACCAAACAACTGATAGTGGAAGCTTGACTATGTATAAAAGACCACGATAAATGCTGTTCACAATTTTAGGTGGCTGCATAGCTTTGAGCCTCAGATCTCTTCACTGCACTAAAGGGGATAATAAGGGTCCTCCGCAGATTTAATGTGAGGATTCAAAGAGATTATATATATAAATGCTAAGAACAGAACCTGGACTGTGGTGAATTTTCAATACATGTTAACTGTTTTGGTTATTGGATTTTTCTTTAATTATTAATTCTTGGTTACAGTGCCCCCATGTGTCTATACATTGCACTACTTCTGGTCTTTAAAAGGACTTCTTAATACTTTAGATGGATGCATTTGAATGACAGTTCTAAGGCTGTATATGATTGTCCACTCGAGTTTTATGTACACTATGAAGATTAAACAGCTCCTTTAAAAGTGTGTTATCCCTGAATATAAAAGTAACACATGCTCACTGTAGAAACTTTGGAAAATATTGAGAACTATACAGAATTCTAGTCACCTACATACAACTACCTATTTTATATGTTTTATATATTCTATATATGGATTTTTACAAATTGGCAT